GCCTTTTTTTTTTTTTTTTTTTTTTTTGGTACCGGGGATCAAACTCAGGACCTTGAGCTTGTGAGGCAGATGGTGGCACCACTGAGCTATATCCCTGTCCCTGAATAGCACTATTTTAAGACAGGGAACACTGGCCTTTTGTTTTTTCTAAAAACTCTGTCACTACCTTTAAATCAGTCATGTAAGATAGTTGGTGCCAACTTTCTTTTATTGAGAAAGGGGCTGAATCAGAAAACTTCTGCAATTTTTAAGGCTCCATATTTTTTATGTCTTAAATATTTAAGAACTTGAATAATTGATTGAGCAATTTTAGGTCCTCATAGAGAATGACCACAGACACCCTTTGTTTTTCAACAACTGTCTTTCAACAACTGAGGGTACCATATTGCAATGAACAGAAAATAAACAGCAGTAACTCTTCATGGATTTTAACTTTTTAGTGGAGAAAAGAAAAATATATTTTAAAAAATCCATGAGTAAATTATGTGACGTGTTAGAAAATATAACTGCTATGGAAAAAACAAATGAGGGAAAAGAATCTGTTTCTGTGTGGAGTCTTTGGACAGAAGAGAGGGAGGTATTGTAGCACATAGTTAAGGAAGGTTAGACTTTTTTTTTTGGTACCAGGACCATTGAACTCAGAACTTGTGCTTACAAGGCAGGCAGTAGTACCAATGAACTAAATCCCCGGCCTTAGGTTAGACTTTTGAGTCACGCTCTAAAAGTGTGGCAGTAAACCAAATGGCTAGGTAAGGGAAGTGTATTCCATGCAGAGGGCTCAGCAAGGCCATGTGTGGAAGCAGCAAGGCCAGCATGGCTGGAGAGGAGAAAGCAATGGCAGAACAGTAAATGAGGGCAGGCAGCTATGGGGTTCTCATGGGGAGAGACAGGCTGCGTGTTTGACTTGTAAACCAGTTTGGCTTTTACTGAATTAAGATTGAAAAGATTAGAAGGTTCAAGCAGAGAGATAACATGATCTTTTTCACTTGTATGTTTTTGACAAGATTACTGTGACAGCTGTGGAGAATGGATTCAAAGGGGGCACAGGCAACAATTTGTCAGGAGTTGAACTAACTTAGACCAAGGTGGTAACTAGCAATAGATGGGGGAGAAGTTACTGATTATCATTTAAAGATAGAGCCCTAAGATTTACTAATGGACCTGATATGGGATATAAGAGGGATAGAAGGATCCAGGATGACTTCAGTGGATTTGATCTGAACATCCGGAGGAAAAGAAGTTGTCACTAACTGAGATGGGATAGACTGAGAAGGGAGTGATCAGGGACATTTTGGACTATGTTAAGTTTGGCACGACTGCTGGTTCTCTAAATGGAGATGTTAAATAAACAGTTCGCATTGTGAGTATGGAATTCAAGGCAGAGGTCTTGCTTAGGTACGTGGGGTGTTGTGTGTGGCAGGGGTCACCGTGTGGGTGTTATTTATCGTCATGAATAGGGAGAACATCACCAAGGGCACACATTTAGATGGAAAAGACAAGTCGGGAGAGAGAAAAAGAAAGAAAAGAAGAAAAACAAGGGAACGCAAAGCCCCAGCAGCCCAGTGAAAAAGAATCTTCCAGTCCGTGGAGCCGTTTTTGGTTGTTACATCTGGATGGATTCTGGGGGAGGATATAGAACTGGCATCTGATGGAAGAGGGAGTGTTCTGCAGAGGGCACGATGACCTCCCGTAACACAATCATTGTGCCGGAATTGCTAGTAATGTGATGGCTTATGAGGGAAAGTGAATAGCTAGGGAAGTACAGGATGAAGGCTGGGCAGGTTAAAGACTCACTTAAGGTTACTGACACTTGTGTAAAGTAAGACTGGTTTAGGAGGGTTTTGTTTTTTCCCTAGCCACTGTTTGGCTGTACATGTAAGTCTTAGAGAAGGAAGGCTTTTTTAAAATTTGTTTTTATTTTTTTATTTATTTTTTGGAACTGGGCATCAAACTCAGGACCTTGAAAGGCAGGTGGTGGAATCACTGAGCTAAATCCCCAGTCCTTAGGAAGACTTTTTAAATGGCTGTTTTGGTTTTGCAGAAGACTGTTTTGCATCGTGATCCGTAGGTGTTTGATAAGTTATTGAGAATGCTGGACAAGTGTATTTCCTGGGAATAGTTAACCTGCATGAGTTCCTAAGATTGTCTTTGCTTCTCTGCATACTTCCCAGTCTGCGTCTTTTCACAGGTGTTGTGCTTTTTCCCCTCAGGGCACCTTTCATAGCCAGCAGGCATTGGAATATGGCACCAAACTTGTTGGTGGAACCACACCAGGGAAAGGAGGCAAGACGCATCTGGGCTTACCCGTCTTTAATACTGTGAAGGAGGTAATTCATCGTACCTGAGCTTGGCAAGAAAAGAAAAGCAGGAGAAGAGCAAGCGTTCTCTGGGCAGATATCTTAACTGTGTCTCTTTGGGAGACTCATTTGCTCTTTGAATATCCAGTAATCTGGGGAGATTTGAATTGTATTGAAACTCAGGATGTCATTTTTATTTATAGACATGCATCAATTCTTTTTTGTTTGTTTGGTAGTACCAAGGATTGAACTAAGGGCCCTCACACTGAGCTACATTCCAGCCCTTCTTTATTTTTTATTTTGAGGTAAGAGTCTCACTAAAGTCACGGAATTGTCCAGGCCAGGCTTGAACTTGAGATCCTCCTGCCTCAGCCTCCTAGAGTAGTGGGATTAACAGATGCATCCCACGGCCTCTGGCTGCCATGTCTCATCTGTTCATGGAAGAAGAGCTGTGACCTGGCTTCTGTCTGGCTCATTATCCTTTCATTACCTTTCAGGATGGTTGTAGTGCAGGTGTCAGTAGCCATCCCTAGATTCCTGAGTGTGGGCCATGTGTCAGACCACTGTTAGGTGCTTGGTGCACACTGGCCCGCTTAGGTCTCACTGCCACACTACTTACAGGAAGTAGGTGCTTTTATGAGGTCCACTGTAAAGCCAAGGACACTACGGTGCAGAGGATGAGGATGTCAGCCTTCATCTGACAGTGGCTAAGTAGCTCAGAGTAGTAGTGTGGTCCTGCGTGAACACTGCACTAGATCTTAGCCAAAAGGCCGAGAAGCAATGTGAACACACTGAATTGCTGACTCAGACTGGCAGACTGCAGGGTCTTTCTTTCTTCAAATTGCTGGCTTCTAACTAATACTCTTAGAATAATGTCTTAAACTACTTGTGACCAAACCAATATGTACTGATTGTAAAATTCAGACCCCATAAACGTAAGTAACATTAAATTTCATAGTGCTTTCCATACTTCAGATTTCCTCTTTAGAGAGCTAATTTAAGATTAGTATGTATTCCTCCACGGTCTTTCCACTTTTATATGAAATTTATAAAAAACTAGTATCTTAGAAGAAACTGTTGCACAAATTTTTGGTCTATTTTATAAAAACTTGGGAATAAATTTAGTACTTTGTGTTGATATATTGTAAAGTATTGCATTTTTTAAAAGTTTGCATTTTCAGATCTAATCTCATGACTGAATACAACCAAATAAGGGTTAATGTGTACTCTTAATCCTAACATGCAGGAAAGAAAACATATCTTTCAAATTTAGAGATTTCATTTTACTTTAAACTTGGAGATAGTGTTACTGTATATGTGTATTTGTGTTTTAGATTTGCTGTTTTAAGAATAAAACATTAGAAATAATATGTTCTATAGAGCCTTTTTTTTCCCCCCCTAAAAGAAAGTTTTGCTAGGAGTTTGGGTGCATGCCTGTAATTTTAGCACTCAGGGAGGAGTAGGATTGTGCATTTGAGGCCAGCCTGGGATGCATAGTGAGTTTGTAGAACATAATGGGACCCTCTCAAGAAAGACCAAACAAAAGAAAATAGAAATATTTTTGTTACTAAGCAGTTTATTTATTATTCATAGTGACAGATACATATGTAGCATTTGAAATATTCCATAAGTTTTTTTTTTTTTTTACAGATACCATTTCTTACCCATGTAGCTCTTACAGAGAACTTTCTAAATTAGTAGGAATGGTACTTTTCATCCCCTGTGACTTCCTAGCACATTGTACTTGTCACAGTCTGGCTTCTGGCAATATTTATAGCCTAAAGTGGTGAGGATTTTGGGAAATATTTTTCCATAAAATACCTACATGCCCATGATAAGAATTCTTTTGGTTTAAACCTAGTTTTTATTTCTTTTGTTCACCTACATGCATCATCATCTTAAATGCAGTTTTAAGAAAATTACTTCTAACCTGTCACATTACTTATGAATGAACTGTCAGCCTCCTCCGACTTTATCCTTCTGTTACTGTCAAGATAGTGCTTTTCATTAGGTTTGTATAGAGGAAGCTCTCAGTCTCTCGGAATGTGGGAATCATTCAGTGATGATTCCCAAAGACACTGTCTTTTCCTTTTTTTCCTTCTTTTAATTATGTCTATATGTTCTGTAGCTTAGTTTTCATATCCATTATAAAATCCCATAGCATAATCTTGTGAAAGTTTTGTTTTCTCTTTTGATTAAGTGATACATTTAACATTTATAGGGAGGCAACTTGCTGTCACTGAAATGAGCAGGCACTTTGGAATCAGATGTACTTAGGATGAAATCTGTACTCTGCCACTTCCTGGCTCTGTGACCTTGTGCCTAGCATGTTAATTTGTGAAGCGGAGATACTAAGATTCAAGATGCGATGAAGCCTTAACCGAGACTTGCATAGAACCCTCTTATAAGGCTGTCACAGAATGGGGGCTGCTACTCTTGGAGATACAGAGATCATCAGCAGTCTCATCTTCATGGATGGTACAGTTGTATCAATATATGTAGGAAGTTTGTAAAGACAGAATGTTTGGCCCTTGTTCATGTCCACAGAGGGAAGAGCAGTGGCCAGATGGTTGGTCTGCAGGTTCTTTACATCGTAAAGGATGATAGCACTCAAACGTAACACTTGCTTGACCCATACTCATCATATACCATTTATACGTGTGCATTTTTGCTCAGTTTATTTCTAACAAATGTGCATTCAGATTAAGAGATATCAGGCAAGAACTTCATTTTTACTGTCTCACGATACTGTTTACTGAATGTATTTGAGAACAGATGTTTGAGAGCTGGGTTCTAAGCACTGAGGGCCCCCTATCCTATCGTTCTCAGGAGGTCTAGATGCTTTGGTACTAAGTAGGTACGTGCGCCAGTGTCTGTCAGTGTGTGTCTGCAGTGGACCAGTAAAACTGAGCATGGCCATAGGAATGAAGGGATGCAAATGTAGGTCAGGCAGTGCTTTTGGGTTTACTGACCTGCCATCATTTGCAGTGTCACAGAACCATTCAAGTCACACTGGAATTTAAAGGGGGTAAAGAAGACACTGTAGTTGATTCTGTTCTTTTCTGATGGTGTGGTGAACAGGATAATGTAAAGAAAAGACATCCTATGTCACTTGGTGGTGTCTGACCCGGACATTAATAAAATCATGCTGTTGAATTTATTTTACACTGTTAATGACTTATGCAGTCATCACGCGCTTTATGGTTAATGTTCCAGGCCAAAGAACAGACAGGAGCGTCAGCATCTGTCATTTATGTCCCTCCTCCTTTTGCTGCTGCTGCCATTGATGAAGCTGTTGAGGCAGAAATGCCCTTGGTTGTGTGCATCACGGAAGGTATCCCACAGCAGGACATGGTGCGGGTCAAGCACAAATTGCTTCGCCAAGGAAAGACGAGGCTAATTGGGCCGAACTGCCCTGGAGTCATCAATGTGAGTGCAAAAAGTAACAAGCCCAGAGTTAGCCTCTCGCAAGGCTAAGTAGCTTTGAGTCAGTTCTCCTGTGTTGTGTGTATGACTTGTGGGTTTCAACTTTTTAAAAATAACTTTTCTACAACGGTAATATACTTTCAGCCTGGAGAATGCAAAATTGGCATCATGCCTGGCCATATTCACAAGAAAGGAAGAGTTGGTGAGTGTGTTTGTTTCTTAAAGGTTTTTAAATAAATTCTTTGCTCTAAACTCTCAAAACTCACAAAGAGACTTTGTGATTACAGATCACTTTAGTAAAATTTACCAGAAGTTTTATAATGAATCAATTCTGTGTCCCACATATAATGAGAAGCAGTTATAATTCCACATAGTAAAGATTGTAGGGGTTTTTAAGTAAACATTTGTTTTTTTCCCTACGTTTGCATGTATCACAGTTAATTTGATGTTACTGCTAAGTAGTATTCTGTTCTCTGGTTTTCCTGCAGTTTATTTATGTATTCTCTCACAGTGAACATTTGAGTTGTTTCCAGGTTTGAGCCTTAGGAACAAGGGTAAGATGAACATTATATGTAGACTCACCTTTTTATGGACATGTTTTCATTTTTCTTGAGCAAAGTACTGTGGAATGAAATTAATAAGTCATAAGGTTGAGCATGTTCAACTTTTGAAGAAATTGCGAAATAGTTCTGTGAAGTGGCTGTGTTATTTTACATTCTTACCGTTAATGTATGGGTATTGCCGTTGCTTCATATCTTTACATTTATTGTTTTTAGTCTTTTAATGTAGCCGTTCTGTTTGTAGTGCAGTCATAAAAATAACAGGTTAAAAACTTGAAGTGATATTTTGTAAAACAAAAATGCCTAAGAGATTCTATCTTATTATTGTTTGGGCATGATCAGGAAAGACCTGTAAGAGAAAGTAACATGTAAGCTTTTGATGTGGACCTATAGGGGTGGTTAGAATTTTCATTAGGTGGAGGCATTACATTTTTAAGCAGAACAAATATAAAAAGGTAGGAAAGCATAAAGATTTTCAGAAGAAGTAATGTAGGTTTTCTTTGCATTGCTTTTATAGTTATAAAATAACTTTAGCTAGTATTGTGCTCTTTTCTTTTTCTAATCTTAAAAACTTCCCTACTTTAAGCATTTTCTTCTTTTGTTATTTGACAGTATTGTGATCTGGGTGGCAAGTCATGGAATGAATTCTATGCATACTCATGTTAGTTACTCAGAATGTTTGTAATTTAGCTTACTATATGATGATCTGTCATAGAAACACAGTGTAATATCTTTGGACTCTCTTCCTTTAAGGTATTGTGTCTAGATCGGGCACCCTGACATATGAAGCAGTTCATCAAACAACACAAGTTGGATTGGGACAGTCTTTGTGTGTTGGTGAGCAATTTTTGCTAAAATCATTTTTTTGGAGTATAGTTTCTTCATTGAGTGAATATAGCAGTAACTACTGATTGGATTATTTACAAGAAATTTTGATACTATTTTCTTAAAAGGATATTATAATCTCAAATTTAACTTGCTTAAGTGTACTACATGTAGTTTCAAGATTCATAGTCCAAGATTTGATTTTTAGTTTGAAGAACAAATGTCCTGGGAAATGTGACTCCTGGACATCACTCACGCCTGAAAACATCACTTAATTTTCTTGCTGTGAAGAAATGCTTCCTTATTTTATGACTTCTGTTGTTATAGTGATTATATTCAGTGCTTCATACTGAATTCTTTGCCATTAATTGTCTCACTCTTTATTTTCTTTGTGGCACTGGGGATTGAACCCAGGGCTTTCAAACTGAGGTGTATCCCCTGACCATTTTATTTTGAGACAGAGGCTTGCTCAATTACTAACTTGCCCAGGCTGGACTTGAACTTGCCATCTTTTTGCCTCAGCCTCCCAGAGTGCTGGAATTACAGATGGGCACCAGTATGACCAGGTTGTTTCATTCTTAAGGTGACCCTCTGAGGCACTTCTGAGCTGAATAGTAGTACTGTTATTGCCTTATTGGTCAGGAAGTTGAAGTGCAGGAAGGTCATCTTTCCTAGCACCTTTCTTTTTCCCATACCACACTTTATTTTTTTCTCTCATTGAGTTTATTGGTACATTTTAGGTACACAGTCAGTTACATCCATCATTGGGATCTTGTACCTTTACATGACAGGTCTTGGTTCTCGTTTTTTCCCCTTGTCCCTGCCCTCCCTTACTTTAAAAAATATAAATTCTAGTAAGTTTAAAATAATTTCACTCTTTTTTTGTCAAAAGCCAGAAGAATTTCTCATTTTTATAAATATTTCTTAAAATCCTTAGAATACCTTTTAAAAGCATTTCAGAAATTTCTTTTTTTTTTTTTAATTGAATTTATTGGTACATTCTAGGTAGATAGTACAGTTACATTCATTACTGGGATCTTGTACCTTTACATGCCAGGTCTTGGGTCTCATTTTTTCCCCTTGTCCCCAGAAATTTCTTTTTTATAGTAAGTTATATAGTCCTAAATTCCAATTTAAAACATTAATTGAACTTTTCTGTTTCCACAGCATTGTCGATCTCAGGCGCAGCATAATTTAGTGTGGTGGGGAGTAAGTTGTTAAACAGACTTGCCAGTTCCATTTTCTCCAAATTCAGTTTTAAATTTATAAACAGCAGGTAGTAATGTGCATCTCATGGTGGGGGTAGCAAATGACAAGTCTAACATGCTAAGTCACGCAGAGGATTTGACGCATGGTTGGCACTTAATGCTAGTTCTCTTCTTAAACTTCATTTTTCAGAGAGTCATTGAAATGTAAGAAGTAACTCCTGGCCTCAATAAGTTTATAATTTAAAAATTACCAATGGCAGTTAGTCTGTGGAAACATTTACTTTAATCCCATCCAGCTGCTTGTTCTTTAGGGTCATGTGCTTGTAGTAGAGCCCCCATATCAGGCCCTGTATTATCCTCTGTGGATCTGTAGGCAGAAGGCCTGTGTACTGTGCACCCTGTTACTCATTGATGTGTGTCTTAAAACTTACGAGTGGTTTCTCTGCAGCACGCTATATCAGAGCTTTTCTTTGTGCAAAGAAATTTGCAAAGTGTTTAATCTTTTCCTATGGTGTAAAATTAGCTTGCAACACAAATCTTCATTTGTAAAAAGTTTATAGCAGCACAATTCAGAAAAGCCAAATCTTAGAAGCAACCTATATGCCCATCAGCAGTTGAATGGATATAGAAAATGTGGTATTTACACACAGTGAAATACTACTCTGCTGTAAAGAAAGAGAAACTTGAGTCATTTGTAGGAAAATGAATGCACTTTGAGACCATAATGTTAAGGGAAATAAATCAGACACAACGTGTAAATATTGCATGGTTCCTCTTATTTGAGGAACCCAGAGTAAAAATAAAGAGCAAAATAAAAGATGGATAATAGGAAGTAGAGAGATAGATCGTTCTCAAAAATGAATGGGATTAAGAGATGTGTTAGGTACATGTATCAACTCCTCACTAGGAGTGTGAGCATTATGTTCTGCAAAAGGTTAATTCCAAATAATTCTGTGAGAGGGAAGAAGTTTGTTGTGAAAGAGCTATAACAAAAAGAAGTTGGTTTGTTTTGTTTTGTTTTATTTTTTGGTGCAAGTGAGGAACCAACCACCATTTATACAGAAAAGTAAATGTAGCATTTTGTAATATTTGAATGTTAAGTGAAGAGTGATGATACTTTAAAACATTAGGAATAAGAGGTAGGCAAAATAAGAAACCACTTGGAATGGATCTAGACCTATTTTCCATGGTTCACCTTTACATTTTCAGCTGATGTTGATGTTCTTTGACCTTTTCAGGCATTGGAGGTGATCCTTTTAATGGAACAAATTTTATTGACTGCCTTGAAATCTTTCTGAGTGATTCAGCCACAGAAGGCATCATATTGATTGGTGAAATTGGTGGCAACGCAGAAGAAAATGCTGCAGAATTTTTGAAGCAACATAATTCAGTAAGTTGGGTTTGGAAAAATACAGCTCTTTGCTCTTTGTTTTGGAAGTTGCCTTTATTTTTTCAAAGATTAGTTTTTCAAGAAAACTTGAAAGATAACTGAAAGTTTTCTTAGTGGGGCCTTCTATCCCGGACACTCAGAAAATTCTGGACTCCTTCCTCTTTCCCACAATGCCTTTTCTGTTTCTGTACTCTGAGAGTCCTCACTGGGTACTTTGTGGTAAGTAAAATGGCCTCCAGAATGGGGAACACTCACTGTCAGCCTGACAGCTCCACCCGACTCAAGACCTCCAGACTCACATTTCTTTCTACCTATGATGTTCTTTCCTCAAGTTGCAGGGGAAGTGTTCTTTCCTTTTCTCAAGGCTGATTTTTTAAAGAATCCTGTTCTTTATACCCTTTTCCAGGATCTTTCCACACTCCAACTTCTATCTTTCCTGATAGAGTGGCTTGTCCCGTCAAAGATCAAGTAGAAAAGCTTTACTGTCCGTGTGCTGTGAAGGCTTTCCATGTCACTTCTTCTTTGGAGTTAAATGTGTAAAGGAGTAGTGTGGAGTTGTGTCATAGTTTCATTAGCTGAAGGGAATTAAGCTCCATTTGCAGGGAGAAGAGGTGGTAGGAGGAGCGGGAAGAGGTACAGTGACTGAGGCAGCTTGCTGCCAACCCACACTCAGTGACTGTTCTCTTGCCTTTGTCATGTCTGAGAGCTGAGGGGAGGAGCAAATAATTTCTAGAATTTCTCTGACACAGATGAATAAGGAACAAACCGTCTTCAGAAGCTAGGCAAGCAGATAGAAATAACTTAATGCTTATGAAAAAAATGAGTAGTGAATGAATTAAATGCCCCTGAAAAATAATGGATACTGGAATGTTAAAGAAACCAGTAATGTCACTTAAATCGGTGGGCACAAAACAGTGTCCATTTGTGCTTTACTGACTTTTTGAAGGCTATTTTGAGTATATTTTCTTCTGTGGTGATTTTTCAGCCCCAACTTTGACATAAGATGTGGCTGAACTTTCCCCTCACTTCTGGATCACTTTCATTATTTGTCGCTCACTCCACAGTTTTCAGCAGTCTGGCTTCAGTCTGGCATTTAGAAGCTATGTGACCTTGGGAATGTTCTTTAACCTTGCTGTCTCGTTTCCTCATTGGCATAGTGGGGATGTAGTAGTCCAAGCCTCCTAGAATTGTTGCAAGGGTTGTGAAGTTTAAATGACTGATTGACATACAAGAAAGGAATCCTGGCACATAATAATTGTGTTGTTTGCTGCTGTTGAATGACTCTATTGACTGTTTTTACAGAGGTCCCTGGTGGCCCATCATCTTCATCCTCTCCATGAAATCCTCTTGGTTTTTCTCATATTTTTCCTTCCCTGGACCTATCTTATATACCTGTTTCTAAAATGTGAATGATTATCTTGTATATACTTGTTAAGTTTCCAAGGCAGAAACCTCAGAACTGTCCTTTATTTCTGTCTCACCCCACATTTCCACGCACTGAGTGCCATCTGAGCCCTCAGTGGAGTGTCTACACTAAGGGCTGCATGCGGTCACTCCCTCCCTGTGGCTCGGCCTTGTGGCTTCCCTTACACAGAACACCTCAGCAGGGTCCTCTCTGCCGTCCATTCCTTTCCCTACCAGACCCTCCTTTCCCAGGCCATCCTGCTCATCTGCCCTTCTGAAACAGGCCTCAGTGCCTTTTGTACCCATGTAAAACTAGACATTGTTTTCCATTGCATGCAAGTGAAGGATCCTTTTCAGATCCATACTCCAACTGAAATGCCAGTTTTCCTTCCATTGTGCCTTGCTTCCTTCTGCAAGATATGTTTAACGTCTGACTCTTGATCTAGGCCATGTTGTGGGTGGCAGGAAACTGGCATTCTTGGTGCTCAGCCCAGTCTCTGGGATAGGAAGCCCTGGTGAATGTCAAGTAAATGAAAGAATAAAGTAGATGATTGGGAGGTTGGAGCAAAATGTTATTAGATTCTGTTGCACTCAGAAAGTTATAGTTTGAAATTTAAGTGAAAACTAACTTTTTAGAAAAAGAGATTTAACATGACATTACACAATTAAAGTGAATGTTAAAATGTATGTAGGCCCAACTCTGAATCTCTTCAATTTAGTGGAGAAACTTAACTGTACATTCTCTTTCATTTGGCACGTTTTCTTATTCTTGGTTAGTTCTTATGGAACTGATTTTTATTGAGAACCTAAGGTGCACAAGATCAGAGATGAAGCTGCTCAGAGGACATGATACATAAAATACTTAACACAATAATTGTCATGGTTTAACTTGCAATAGATGATATCTACTGCTACCAGTGTTGTTATTATGACAGTGATTATCTGTGAGAGTCATGTTGTTTAATCTTATCTTGATTCTTTGAAGAAGTTGTTGTCATCCTATCATGAATGAGGAAGCAGGCACAGGAAGTTTAATGACTTGCCAATGGTGGTGTATAGCCCAGGAACCACAGCGGGATTCACACCCTGTCTTCTCCATTACACTGTGGGGTGATGGGCATCATTGCAGCAGTAGAGGAACAAGAGTCTCTGACCTGGGCAAAACTTAGGTTAGACTGAGACTATCCTCGCCGGTTTTTCTGTTTTTAGCCTTTACTTTCTCCTCACTTTATGTCTTGTTTTCATACTGTATTTCTATAGCCTCCTTGTATTTTTCTCCACATAATAAACCTCCAGCAACTCCTGTTGTCAATGGGACACAGTGTAAATTTGTTTGACATATTAGGCTCATCATAATCTTGTTCCTTCCTAATATAACAATATCCTCACTTCTGGGGGGGTTGTGAGAGGTTCAAGTGGAAATTAATACCACTCAAATACAAGATTCTCATCTTCTGTGTAGAAACTACGGTGAGTGAACAAATGACTGTGGAGTCTTTTCTTAATTCTGTGCCACGGATACTACAGTTGAGCATTGAGAACCACTTTAGATCATGGTTCCCTTGTTCAGAGAAGCCATTATTTAGTAGGGAACACATGGATGTAGGTCCCAGCCATTGTACTGATGATAACATTAGAAGCATGTAAAAGGCACCGCAGATACACGAAGAGTAACTAGCTGTAAGACCACTTGTAGAGTGTGTGGAAAGAATCAAGGCCACCTTTGGAAGAAGAGGCTCGAGCCAGGTTTTAAAAGCTAAGTAAAACTTGAGAGGTTCCCTTAACCTCTGGGGTCCTGGGGCTCCTGGGAAGCTGCGTCAGACACGTGGCACCTCCTGAGCCAGGGCTGTGGGACTGACTGTACTGCCACTCATGCTCTGCCAGGCACTCACAGCAAACAAAGTCAGTTTCACTTATCAATGTTTTGTTTTTGAAGAAGCAATAAAAATTAGCAGTTCTATAAAGTCTCAGTCCTCAAGTTAGTGCCTTGTGATGAGAAGGGAAACAAGACACCTCGCAACTGAATTGTGGGCTTTTCATGGAGCAAAAGTTTTACTTGAAAAAGTGATTGTCAGAAAAACTGCTTCAGATTTTTGGGTACTTTACAAAACTTTTCTCAAAATGAACAAGGCAAACTTGCCATATCAAGGAAAGCAACTCATAGTATTTGTGGCTCATGATAAAATTTGAGCTTTCAAGTGAATATTAAAATTTTGGGAAACTTCTCTTTGCTTAACAACTTCCTTCTACTAAAAAGGCTTTAAAAATGAGATTGGTGATTCTAAAGACAGTGATGTGTTGATATTGAGGGATGGAATGAGTTAGCATTTGGAAGATCTGCATGACTCAATGAACTGACATTTTCCAATTTGCCAGTGCATGTTACATAATCCTTGTGGTTAGAAGAGCCATTTAAAGCGCAAGACAGACTAGTGGATTTCAGAGTAACAAAGAACAGAAAGGTCATTGCTATAGTTTCAGATCCTAACACTGCATCTAACACGTAAGAAATTATTACTTTAAGAGGTTTGTATAGTATCCAAGTATATCCACGGTTACTGTAAGGCAACTAAAATACTTACTTCTTCATATTAAAGTTATATATCTGTGGGAGGCCATATTTTCTTCTTCTACTTTAGCTAAAATAACATTGCAGCAGATTGAGTATAAAAGTTATCTTTTGACATGAAGTTAAAGAGTCAAGATTTGTAAAAATTAAATGTATAGTGCTACTCTTTTCATTAAGATATTTTAAAAGTGCTGTTTAATAAGTTTTATTTTTATTATTGTATGTTTGTGATACATAATGATTACATTCATCTTAGGGAATTGATACATACGCTTATCATGTCTTAATCAATTTTACCTTCTCCCCCATTTGCCCTTTTCTTTCCTTCCTTCCCCTCTTCCCCACATCCCCTTGCCATCTCCACAGTGTCTTAGTTTTAAAGGATGAATAAACAAGTATTTATAAAACTCAGTTTTAATATCTAATAATTATCATTAGATACACTATAGAATAGCTACCTTAAAATATAATACAGTGATATTTGTATACACATTAGAATGGATTTTTATTGTGTATATACGCAAGAGCTCTTTGAAGTCCTCAATAATTTTTATAAGATCTAAGAAGTGCTCATCATGGGAAAGATGACAGAGTTTGAATGAAGGCTCTTGAGAATATTCCACTGTGCCCAAGTCCTGCCTTCTGTGGGCCTCTCTTACCTGGATGCCTGATTACTTCTGGGCTCTTACGAGCATGCATTATCATTCATTGTGAAATGTACCATATGTTCATAGTGCGGTGTGGTATCTTGACTGTTGTGAACATATGTCATATAACTACATTTAAAGTCTAGTGCACAGGAAACTCTTATACTTTGTATGTAATTTTTAAAAAATCTCTTTGGTATTTATGTATCTTAGGCTGCACATTGGATCGGACTTTGCTGTATAAAACCAATCCCTGTCTTCCTCCTTAGACACCATAGGATTTCAGCATGGAAATGGCTGCTGACTGTCAATCGAGTTCAGCCATTTCCTGTCCTAGGTAAGGATGCAGAAGTCTGAGACGTGACATGCCTTGTCCAGGGCATGCAGCGACAGCCATTGCAAATGGAGTCCTTTCCAGGACATTTTCCCACTTCATCTTTTTCTTTTAGGTCACTTATTCAGGGAAAACTAATAATGAAATAAGGCATAACTCAGGTTGAGGTAATACTATCTGACCCTGAATTTTAAGTCATTATCACAAGTCACATAAATTTTCGGTTTTCATCATGGTTTAATATTTGTGTTGTTGTTTTTTCTTTTTAGGATGACTGATGGGGTTTCATCTGCCCAAACCATTTATGTAACATTTACAGTGAAGTTCTAGATCTGGATTTGAGGTCCAGTTTTGACTGACTTCTTTATCAGAGTATTTGAAATACCATTCTTTCTCTAGGGTCCAAATGCCAAGCCTGTAGTGTCCTTCATTGCTGGTCTAACTGCTCCTCCTGGCAGAAGAATGGGCCATGCAGGGGCAATTATTGCTGGAGGAAAAGGTGGAGCTAAAGAGAAGATTGCTGCCCTTCAGAGTGCAGGCGTTGTGGTCAGCATGTCCCCCGCACAGCTGGGAACCACCATCTACAAGGTGAGTATTAAGAGCTGCCCAGTGCTCTGAAGTTACTGCCTTCTGCGTGTGGGGACACACTAGCTGCCTGGACACCATGGTCTTCTCTTCTGGTTCTTAGTTGTTTTATTTCATTCTAATCGCTTAGCTAGTGCTCTTATAGTATTCCATTAATGTTATAATGCCCTAATTTAAAAATTTTCTGATTTTAAAACTTTCTTCTTTAAACACTGGTATTTGCTTTTCTGTAAGTGACAAGGTAATACATAAACACATCTTGGAGATAAATGCTGTGATTTCCATTTTAAGATAGAAGTCTGTGTGGATGTGCATGTGTGCAGAACTGCCTGTGTTTCTTCTCATGTTTTCTCTAGAGCAGGCCGTTAGGATATAGCCACCCTGATCACAAAAGTTTCTGTTTCCAGGTAGAGCAGGTGGAGTCTGAGTAACAAAAACTGTATGATGAGGCATTTGGGATGGAGGGAGCTTTGTAGAGAGAGGGATATTTTGCTCGTTTCTGGCCTTAGCTGTGTTGTGATGCCATTGTTGCTTACAGGTTGGAGGTGCAACGTTTTAGCTGTTTGCTTTGCTTTTTCCTTTAAATAGGCTATTGTGGCTTAAAATAGTCTAAATGACAAAACAAACAAACAAACAAAAAAGACAAAGCAAAACAAAACAATAACCAAAAAAACAAAACAAAACCCCTATTTCTTAAGCATGGTGGAAATAGGCACAAATTGCTTTTCCATAAGGAACAGTTCAGAGAGAATTAAAAAAAGTCCTAATTTGGTGTAATCTTCGCTCTTGTCACAGGAATAATAAAATGGGCTTTTTGTTTTATTCAATCTATGCTTATCTTGTCTTTGGGAATCTAATACTATGTGTCATAGTATTTGAAAGAAGTTTGGGTGGTTAATAAAGTGTGTGAAAATTTTAATTTGAAAGTAGGAGAAAAAAAGCAAAAGCTTGTTCACACCGGAGATGTGTGTTACCGTTTTGTTCCAGTAAGTGGCAGCAGGTGTCTGCACATTTTGTCCTATTCTAATTGTTACAGTTTAGAAAACTATGATCTTCAGTATTGCTTAATGTGTTGGTTTCAAGGATTTCTAAGGTTCTTGACATTTTGTTCCAATTCTAACAGAATCTATATTTAGTTTTATTCTCTGAGAAAGTGAGCAAAGCTATTTTCATTGCCTTACTGTAGGGCCTGTTGTGGTTCACCTACAAGCATTACACATTTAGATGAACACACAGAAGTTTGGCACCTGCTAGTAATAATAATACTGCAGTGAAAAAAACAAGTATTGTTTAATGTTGCTCAGCCTTTGGGTTTAGGAGACATAAAGTTGAAGCTGTATGTCTAACTTGGTGAGGTTCGAGCTGACAGACTAATTTGAAGGCTGTTATTTTGTGCACCCTCATCCTAGTACATTTTCCTTTTGTGATTGTCCTAGAGATAATAGGTTTCAGAATTTGGAGCTTTTCTCTTTATTTCCTTTCTTTTGTTTTCGAAGGAATTTGAAAAGAGGAAGATGCTCTGAAAGAACAAAGCAGTCCCCATACCTGTGGAATGAATCATGAAATCACAAAAGACAAGGAACCTACAGCACTTTGCTCCCTTGTCCACTGATTTTCAACTCTTGTGCCTGACACTAGGCTTTCAGTTTAACAGGAAACCAAAAAGAGACTTAGAATGTACTAAATTGAGATATTTTCACCTGCTGTATAACAGACACAGGCAATAAATCTACTATTGATTTGAATGTGGTTTTGAATATTCATTATTCTTCGGGGGGGGGTGTTGGGGGGAATGGAAGAAATAAAGGGGCACTGAGTGCTTTAATGGGCTTTGTGGAGAGCATTGTAACAAGCTTTTGAAAGAACAAGGCTATAAAAGTTTCAACATGGCGTTTGTCTAATTGTCTTAAACATAGATGGCTTTTGATCTCTTTTGTTTTGTGCATATATAATAGCTTCCATCTTCCAGGGTATTTCTGAGAGTGAGAGATAAATATATATAAAGCCAGCATGTAGTGAGACAACTGTGCAGTCCTCATGGCTGTACCATCACCCCACAATCCCCATCTTCTTCAGGATTATGTGCTGGCGCTCATTTGTGTTTCTCCTAGCTGAGAAATGGAGTCTTCACTAGTGCTTTTCTGTGCTCTGCAGGGCTGTCTGTGATGTGAGCCTGTGTGTGCGAATGTGGATGTGTGTGTGCACACATGCATGTGCACAGAGAACTGCCTTTCTTTTCCAGAGCCTACTCTCTTTGCTTGAGGTTTTTTTCTGCAAGAGAACATGAAAGCTGTTAGCCATCTGCTTTGTGTTTAAAGGGGTTTGTTAATGAGAAGCAATTCCAAGTCGCAACGCCAGGGTGCTGTAAGACCTAAAGTCTCACTTCCACTCCACGGAGCGTGAACAGCCGAAACCTCCACGATTGACCTTTATTAGTCTGGCCAGACGGCACTCCCGGAGCCAGGTGGCTCAGAGAGGCAACTGCTCAGGGGCTGAGGTACTTTTTATAAGGTTTTTCTAAACAAAGAGTCAGGGAATTCACAGAACAAGACTGCACACACATTGCTTATCTTATGCAGGAAATGTTCTAGGGTCACCTTTTGTCAAACCATTTGCCCCTGGGTGGGCTGTTAACCAAGGTAGCAATTAGCATATGAAGAAGCACAGTCTGGCCTATTAGCATGGAGTCACTTTAGCCTATTCAAGTCTTACATGTGTGACCATAGGAACTCACATGCTGAGTGAGGTACACAAAATATTCTTAAATCATGTAGTTGCCCTGCAGGAAACCCAATAAATAGCACTAGGGGGAAGCCCCTGAAGAAGGCTGACTGGGGAGGGGACCTGCATCTGGAAGGCACTAGGGATATAAGAGGGAGGATGAGTACCCAGGGATCACACAGAGGAGGCGACAGCCTGTGCCAGGGCAGGAATGGGATGGCCCATCTTGAGGCAATGAAGGAACAGTGGGGGCACTGGGAAGAGTTGGGGGGGTTGAGGGAGACTGGGAAAATGTGTTCTGAGAGTTCCCATGAGCACACCTGGGCTGCTGCTGACAGCACATAGAGCTGGGGTGAATGCATGGTCCAAGGGATTTGCCTGCACCATGACACACAGTGGATGACTTTGGAGTGGAGTGGGCTTAGTTCCTGCTTGGGGCTTTGTCCTCACCTTGAAAACAAGAACGATGCTCCTTGTCCCACGGGGTACCTGGGTGGAATACGTTATGGTAGGGGGGGTTGGACGGGGCTTGCTATTGCCCCACAAGCTCTTGATCTTGTCCCGCTGCTGTGTTTAGAAGAACCCCGGTGAACACCGCTGGCAAGGAAGGAAAGCACGGTTTCTTTCTGAGTGGCATCTCCAGCTCATGTCCCTACCAAGCAAGCTTGCTTTTGTCTAACTCACTGGGCCTTTATGACAGGGACACAGTTCAGATGAGGGGCAGGTGATACGTCTTTTGTTTTTTGTTTTTTGTGACAGGGTCTTACTATGTAGTTGAGACTGACCTGGAACTCACTTTGTAGCCCAGGCTGGTCTTCAACTCACAACGATCCTCCTGCCTCAGCCTCCTGAGTGCTGGGATTACAGGTGTGTGCCACCATGCCCAGCGCAGGTGACCTGTCTTAGTTTATTCACATAGCTATAATAAAAATACCAGAATTTGGGCATTTTAGGCAATACTCCCTTCTCACAGTCATAGAGACTGGGAAGTCCAAGGTCAGGATGGGGGAGGAATGAATCCTTTCCTGGCTTCCAGAAGTCCTCTTGTATCTTCAAATGGTAAAAGGTAAACTCACTATCTCTCTGGACTGTCAGGACACTAATCTCATTCATGAGGGCTCCACCCTTAGCCTTTATGTCCTGAAGGCTCCACATCTAAATACCATCACATCATGATTAGGGCTTCAGCAAATGAATTTTGAGGGGACACAACAATTCAATGCATTGCACGATCCTAGCAGAAGAGGTCCTTTTCAGGGTCCACCTTGACCCTGGGCTTTTCAAGGCCTCGCACAGCAACCTGAGCACCCAGCCAGGACAACCTTTCTTTTTTCACATTTCTGCTCCTGTTGGTTAGACCAGGGAGCTCAGTGCCCCCTTGATCTTTTCATCTCTTCTACTTCCCGTCTTTCCCTTCTACCCTCCTTGCCATATCTCTCCTTGCATCTGTGACACTTCCAGAACAGTCTACTCAAATGGTAATTGGGGTATTTGATTCTGGTTTTTCCTATTTCAGTTTTACAAACAAAAAAAAGTGAAAATACAACTCGCCACTCTAGCACATTTTAAAAACTGTTGTTTTGGAAACATAAACATTTATAAAATAAGAATATTATGTCCGCCTGTTTACCCATTACCCAGTTTTGAAAATTAATAAGCATGCTACCAACATTGTGTGACCTGTACCTTTAATTCACCCCCCATAGTGCTATTATTGGAGTTGTTTCACTGAAGTAAAGTTTACGTATATTAAACTGTTAAATGTCAGCTATATATTTGATGTATGGACTTAGGTACTCACACCTTTGTCATGGCATAGAACTTCCATTATCCCAGTTAATTCCATCCTATCCCACCCAATCTCCCTACCCCCGTAGATAACCTATATTCTTTTTTTTTAATTGAATTTTTTGGTACATTTTAGGTATATAGTACAGTTACATTCATTACTGGGATCTTGTACCTTTACATGACAGGTCTTGGGTCTCATTTTTTCCCCTTGTCCCCACTCTCCCTTCACCCGATAACCTATATTCTTATTCATCTTGTTAGTTGCATCTTTTATTAGGTTCCCCTCATACAGACGTTTATATGAGTTGAATCATACAGTATGTAGTCTTTATGTCTGGCTTCTTTCAGCATAACTTCTTTGACATTTATCTAGTTTATAATTTTTATAAGTAATTAATTCCTTTATATTGCTGTGTACTGTACTATTTTATGAGTTTATATATTCTGTTTATCCTATTTTAGTCAGTTTTGGGCCTTTTATGTTATGATCTTTACCTGTTGGTAAATAGAGCTGCTGTGACACTGTGTACAAGTCTTTTTGTGAATACAATTTTTTCCCTTAGGTAAAGAAGACAGTGGCATGTATATATTTAATTACTTTTTCTTCCCCGCAGAGTGGTTGTACTTTTTCATGTTCTATCACAGGAAAGTAGAAGAGTATGGTTTTCCCTGTCTTTGCCAACATGTGGTGTTTTGGTCTTTTTAAATATTTTATTTATTTTTCTCATTGAGTTTATCGGTACGTTTTAGGTATACAGTACAGTTGCATTCATCATTGGGACCTTGTACCTTTACATGACAGGTCTTGGTTCTCATTTTTTCCCCTTACCCTGCCCTCCCTTCACCCCTCCTCCCTTCCCCATTTACAAATACTTTGTTTCCATTTTTTCATTTTCTCATATTTTTTCTTTTCCCTTATTCCCTTTCCCCTACGCTTCCCACTTCCCCCACACCTTTAGTCCTTTTCTTCCTATTTCACATTGTCAATTATCCCATTAGGATCTCATGTACCATTATAGTTTTTCACAGCAGAGAAACTATTTGGTATTTACACGTCTGACTTATTTATTTTACTTAAGAGTATATCCTCAATATGCATCCATTTTCCTATGAATGACTCAATTTCTCATTCTTTCTTTATGGTCTTTTTAATTTTAGCTCTTTGAGTGGAAGATTTGGGTTGTATCTGATTTTGTTGTTTTTGTTACTGGGGATTGAAGCCAGTGCTTCATTCATGCTGCACAAGCTCCTACACTGAGCCATACCCCACCCCTTACCTTACAGGTTTTGCCATTTTTAATTTCTGTGTCTTTTTATTACTAAGTTCTAACAATTCTTTATGTAGTTAGGACAAGACCTTCCTCAGATATACATTTTATGAATTTTTGTCACATACTGCCTTTCCTACTTGTTTTCTTTCTACATCATTAGATGAACTGAAGTTTTAAATTTCAATAAAGAGCGACATCTATTTTTTTCTCAGGATATTTTTTCATCCTAAGTAATGTTTTTATACCCCGAGGTCCTGATGATATTTTCCTGTTTTCTATATTATAGAGGAACCCAAATACCTAGTTCGTATCACCCTTAAGTTAATTTTTGTGAATGATGTGAGGTAGAGATGAACGTTTAATGTCTTATAGATATTCTTACACATTTTCCATCTGCCTGAGTCCACACACCCTAAACACATGATGGCCTTTTTTTCTTGAGTTCTTTGTGCCCATTCTAAAGACTTTGTTTTGTGGTAACCTTCCCAAGAGAAGCTGCAAACTGCTCAAACCAGGAGTATTAGTTGCTCCTTTTCTTTGTCATTCCATGGCCAAAGGGAAAATCTTACTAGGATTTCTTCTCCATTGGTTCCCACCCCTCTGCTCCTCCCACCTTCCGCTGAGATGCCTCCAGATCCCAGTTTCCCCTTCTCATGCTAGACTCCCTTGCTGTAAACAGCTCTCCAGTTCTCCTCTGCTCTAGCTTCAGCTGTTGCCAGCTCTGAAAGTCACTATTCTTCAGAGCCTTTAATACTTAATGTGTCTTAGTCCTGGCACCTCCCAGCTCTCCAAGAGGCCCTAGTCTTCAAGATAACACACTCATATTAACAGTTTCTAAATAATGTTCTTAATGATCACAGGTGTCCCCTGGGAAGTATTCTGACATCAGCACAGAGTAGGATCCTCTTATTCTCTTGCCCCAGATTCCCAACCTCTGTCTAGAGTGACATCCCATCACCAGT